AAGGGGAGCAGCAGCCCCTCTGCCAGCACAGCCCAGGTCCTGGCCTGACAGCAGCCCTGGCAAACATCCGCACACCCATCTTACACTGACAGCAATAAGATCAAGAGCAAACAGCAGAGCTTGCAGCCAGGCGCCACGTGATGTGTTGTAAAAGAGGTGGTAAGAGCTGTCTGAGCAGCGCTGGGGAATCCACTTATCTCACACAGCAGACAGAGGGACGAGAGGGGCTTGGATTGGGAGATGGGATTATTGAGGTGCTCCATCATGGAGCTGCCCAAGTCTGGCACCCATCAGGGACTGCTTGGTCTCTTCAAACTCAACCAATGATGTGCATCCAGCCTCAAGTGATCGGTCACCAAACGCTGTGAAATGCTTCAGGCAAGCAGCACGGAGGTCCAAGGATGCGTGGAGGCTGAGCTGCAGAGCAGTTATTGTAATTACAGTTATTATCATTACAGTTATCACTGTCATGCCAGCATATACGAGCAGCACTCCTCCTCCCTAGAGATGACTCTGTGAAGTCTCTCTGGAGGTGACACCCGGCACAGGACACCCCATGCAGCTGCCACCCCCCCACACACACATGGCACCCACACCTCTGAGTGCCCCATGCAGAACGGGGCCATCCCCCACTTCTGCAGCCTTCTCCCTTTGGTCCCCTGGAAAGACAAATAATAGTGGGGGAGAAAACCTTCAGCTTCACAATGCATTAACAGCACAAGGGGAAGCAGGAGGTCAGATGCTGGCTTCCCCTGAACACCACCGCAGACATGGAGTGGGGGAATTGGCGACAAGATCTTGCCTCTATTTCTGTGCCCTTTTTTAAAAAAAACTTTTTTTTTTTTTTCATTGTGGTTGCACATTTGGTGTGTGCAGGGCGGTTTCTGTAAACACAAGGCAGCGTATGTAATACTAAATAAAGCAGCATGCAAATCCCATAGCCACATTCGCAGTCCGCAGACATGCAGTGTTTAAAAGGTGCAAGACCCACGTCTCTATTTATTCCTTCCCCAGCAGATAGAGGACTGCTCAACATTTGCATCCAAGCTGTTGCACACAGCTATGGCTCATTTCCCTGGGACATTCTGCCCCAGCACCACAGCTCTAAAGAAAATCCCAATGCTGCAAACAAAGCTTTTCCCCAGTGCTGGGATGGAGCTGTGACCCAATGCCATTGTGGCACATCCCCATTGCTCGGCGCTTTGTGACCATCCCATGTGCACAGAGGGTGAGAAAGACATAAATAAATCCACTCTTTCTTCCATATGTTTGACTTTAGTGAGTGATTAGTGGACTAATTCTCATCTTGTTTCTATTGCAATGGGCAAATATGCTTTATCTTCTTTCTAATGGCTCCCTTGGGACCTAGAACAATGGTCCACAGCAATGAGTCCTGACAGGGCGCTGGTGCTGGTAGGAACGGTCCTAAGCCATGTTTGCTAAAGGAAAAAGAAGAGAGATTTATTCTTCTATGCATCTGCAAGCCCAAATCACTGCTCCCTGAAACCAGACCAGGATGGGCTAAATGTGATACATGAGGGATGGTGGAAATAGGAAGCTGTGTGCCCAAGAATGACTCCTAGGGCTGTTCTGAGGGTGGAATGATCACGCCAGCATGACACAAAAGCCAAAGAAGCCACCCCCAGAAGGGCAAGATGCAGCACAAAGACTGTGTTTTCCTGCCCCTGCAGCTCCGGTGGGGCTGGGGGAGAGCACAGGGCAGCATCCAGCAGCAGCACTTGTGATGGTCCTATGCTAAGAGGCAGCAATTAAAGCAGGTCCAACTGGGCACAAGCACAGATCATCATCCTCCCACGTGCCCTGACCCCCCTGCAATTATCCATGCCAATCAGCACCCTTGCTGCTTGGCTCAGCAGCATCCCAGTATTGGCCAGCATTCCCCATGCCTGCAGCACCAGCTGGCAGCACACACAGGGATGAGCCCAGCGCTACACCAGAGCTGCCCACAAAATGCAGCCAGCACTGCACCTTGCTGCACTGGGAACAGCATCCTCTGCTCTGACGGGGCACCCCAGGACACGTCCTGGGTGGTGCTGCAGGTCTCAGATGGATGTCATGAGTCATTTTGCCACCATCTTCCTTTTACTACTTCTCTATTTTTTTTTCCAGAAAACATTGTTTTTTTCCGTCAAACGGGAACGATCCCACCCAATACCAGGAATCTTGCTAGAAGAAGTCCAGATGACAAGTTCTCAGAAAACACTGTCAGCTGCTGACATCCAGCTTCAAGAGCCGTCCTCCAGCCTTAACTATAACCAACAGGGACAGCGCATCTCCTGGCGCATCCTGAAGTGCCACGGGATGCCTGCACCCCACAGCGGCCCCATTTCACACCATGGGAAAGGCCGCCACTTCAGTGCACTCCCCAGCAGAATGTACACAAACGTGACTCTCCTTCACACTGGTAATAAACAGCCTCTTGCCTTGCTATCTGCCCCGTGTTTATTTTCCCATTTGCTGACGCGGTAGATGGTAATAGAATATGACACTGATGGGATACAGGCTGCTGCAGACCCAGACTGGTTCTGCTTGTTGGGAACGTGGCAGGGCAGTCAGGAAAAGCCTCTGTGTGCCTTTGGCTGCCTAGGAGCATCAGGAATAATGCTGCATAACCCTAATGGTGCCTTTGCTGTCCCAAGTGGGTTTTGCAGGAGGAGATCCAGCCCCTTGCAGCCCAGGGCTGGATGTGAGCTTCAGCTCCGAGCACGCTTTGGGCAAAAGAGCACCAAGATGTTTGTTTTCAAAGGGATACAATGTTTGACAGAATAAACGATATTTGATTAATGCTGACTGCTTTTCTGTTGTTTTGTTTTGTTTTGTTTTTGAATGCAGTAAACCCTCTGACTGTATAAACATGCCAGGGCTGCTTCATCTGTCTATATCAAAACTTCAGTTACCTCATCTCTGGGGAATGTCCTTCAGTAAGGCTCTGACAATCTTCTTTAGGGGGTTGGTGGCTGCTTTTTTTTGTGGGGTTTTCATTCTTCCCCCACCCCAGTTCTTAGCCTTTCCCAGCAGCAGGCTGGCACCCACTACCTGATTCACATGGACAAAACCTCTTCACACAGACATTTTAACCATCTTTGCAGCATCTCTTACATCACAATTCTTTACCATGACCCAACAAAAGGCAAAAAAACCGAAGTCCCACTCTGAGGACCATCGTCCTCCAGCAGGATCATCCCACATGCTCCCCCTCCAGCTGCAGATTTCAACACCTCCAGACCTGGGTCCTTGCTAAAGCAACAAATCAGGCACAGGCAGGGTTTGTAATGCAACAGGAGCACCTACATCCCCGCTCCCAAGCTGGTACAGATGAAGGAACAATCCTGAAAATCTCCCCTGAAAGACAGCACTGAAGCAATCTAGATCTCAGTTCTCAAACCAGCGAGAGCCGTGAGCAGCAGCTGTTTCAAGCAGCTGTTAAGTGTGTTAGATTACAGCATCCCATGCTTGACACTATTAGTCAATTGATTAATGAATGAGGCGTTCTCATCCAACAAAAATATTTTGGTTTTGCAGTATAATTTGAAGCATGGTTAGTACAGAAGTACATTACGCATGTAAAGCACGTGCTGGAATCTCATCCTACCCTCAGACACTGGCACAAGGTGCTTCTCCACCCTCTGCAGGCTGCTTGCAAACTCACCTGGTGCTGTGCCACTGCTGCTCCATCCTCAGCAGGCAGTGCTTGTATTGCCATGGGCTGAGCACAGGTGTGGTGACAGAACTCACACAGAGGTCAGTGTTGGGAGCCCACCATCAAACAGGGCACTGTGGGGAGATCATGGCTGAGTTGAGAGGATGAGAAGGATTGGCCTCAGATTGCTCCAGGGGAGGTTCAGGTTGAATATTAGGGAAAACTCCTCCAAAAGAGCAGTGCTGCACTGGCACAGCTGCCCAAGGAATGGGGCTGGGAGGGGGTGACCATCCCTGGAGGTGTTTCAGAACCATGGGGATGTGGCACTTAGTGATGTGGTGATGGGCATGGTGATGGGGTGGGCTGGGGTTGGACTTGGGGATCTTAGTGGTCATTTTTCAACCGTAATGATTCTATGATTCTAAGTTCACTCTCAGTTACAGCTAAAAAAAAATAATTGGATGAAGATTATAAACCATTGCAAAACCTTGGTTAAAACACAAACCCACTGCAGGGTGTAAATCAACAGCTTTCTCCAAGTTATCACGCATTATTTTAGAGACTTGGCAGATATAAGGCTCCAAAGCTGTTTTTTGTGATCTCTTTTCATAACAAAGTCTCAAACAACATAGCTTTGCTAAACAGCATGTCCATGCACCGAGAAAATGGGCTCAGCATGCTACAGAAAAGCTTTCTGTTGACAAGCATCAACATCACACCGCAGCAGCGCAGAGCAGGGAAACCAGGCAGCTTTTGTAAGATACCCAGCGAGACACAGCCTGCACTGTCTGCTGTTTATCCAAGGAGGAAGCAGCACACACAATACCTTCAGCACGGGATTAGAGACAAGAACATCCTCCATGCTGATCACAGAGACGCATGCTGGGCAGCAGTACTGCATCCCTCTGAGCAGAACCCACGGCCCTCCTGTTCCCACCCCCAGCACTCCAGGGGGATGAAAGAAAATGATCAGAAGCGACGAGTGGCTCTCATCACATATTCCCTTTGGTGGGAGCAGAGGCTCATGGGCACAGCCAGGCACAGTGTTGAGAGCAGGGCAGTGGGAGGCTTGAAGTGCAGAAGAAATCCCTTGGCCCCCACCTTTTGGGTCCCCATCCTCATGCAGAGCTGGAGGTGAGCTCCCAGTTCCCCTCTCCACCACGTTGTGAGCATCACGGCATGGAAAGCAGTCACAAGGCTTTGAATCAGTGCAGATCAGCTCCACCACTTCAAAGCAACAAGAGGTGAAATTTCCCTTCCCCAAACCATTTGATTGTGTGGTTTGGATTTCCATGCTTTCTCCCAAAGATACAGTTCTTTTCTTTTTTTTTTTTTTTTTTTTTTTTAAATAAGGTTAGAAGCACACAAATATTTAAAGCATGCACATAAGTGTGGTTGTGTGCGTGCATGTGTGCACACAGGCACACTGCAGCTTAAGATACTGCAGATAGGATCACTCCAGTAAAAGCAGCATCTTAATCTGAAATATGTAACCATTCTGGCTGGGAACCAAACCAAACATTCCCTGGCCCCTGCCCATTTCATCAGCCTACCTGCAGCCCTTCTGTGGTGCCCCTGAGTTGGGCATTCCAGGCTGCCCATCCAAGACCAGAGCCGAGCATCACAATGCCGAGCATCGCCTCGCACACCAGGAGCTTACTTGCTGTGCACCATGTCTAGAGCAAATGACCTTTATTTTAGAGACAGCTTAAGCAAAGTAGCATGCAAAGAAACACTTGAGCAAGAGTCTCATCTGCCTCTGGGATCCTGCAAATCCTTTTCTTTTCCTCCTTTGTAGCACAGTGTGTTGGATGCGTTATTCATCCCCATAAAGCACGGCGGTGTGCACAACCACGCTGTCTGTCCTTTGTCTGGAGCTGTGTTTGCAGATTTCCCATGGGAAAGGTGGTGCTTTGCTCCAAAGAACTCCACCAGGGCGTTGCACACATGGGCATCCTTGGTGGGGAGCCACAGCTGGAGACCAGAGAAAGGCAGTGCTCCTATTCTCCATCCTCACTCCCAACTGCTGTGAGGTTCCCTCGCTGCCACCTGCCTGGCAGCACTGGGGCTGGTGGCACCAGAGCTATGCCAAGGCTAGCGAATACCTGGCAGTCCCAGCACGTGTACCAACAGCACCTTTCTTCCTTGACCTTATATCCGATCTTCCCAGTCCTGCCGGGTTCTGTTCCTGGCCGGGTGCCTCAGGGTGACTCCCCAATTTGGAGAGAGTACAAAAATTGCATCAACCACAGAAAAAGTCTGTATTAAGTCAACTGGGAACAGAGGGCTGATATTTGCTGAGAGTACTTCATAAGTCGTAGGTGTTCTTTACCCCATGCACATTCAAACAACTCAAGATGAAACGCGCCCTTCCATTTAAAGGCAAGGCAGAGCTCAGTCTTCCAAAACTGCTAGGGACAATTTAATATCGACCTTCTTATATTAAACAGGATTATCTTTAAAAACCACTGCGACGTATTTACTAGTTTACCATGAACAAACCCTTTTTTTTCTTTTTTTCTTCTTTCTTTTTTTTTTTTTTTTTGGTGAAGATACCGTATTATTTTATAAAATCCACTCAAGTCCTTTGCCCTGTCTTTGGCAATGTGCATATATTCCAGGGAGATTCTGAACATTTTACTCATTTAAAAAAAGGGATGGGAAGGCACTGCTCAGGGCCAGCAGCCCAGCAGCAGGGCTAAGGTGATGGCAGCAGCAGGGCCAAGGCGTGGGGCCATGCTGCTGGGGTCAGTGTTGGGCACAGCAGCCCCATTCTTGTTGTGCTGGTTCAGCAGCTGCTTGTTGGTCAACGTGTCATCCATGTCCAGGTCATATGACAGCTCTGAAAGCAGAAGGAGAGAGCTGGTTAGTGGCAGTTTGGTGTTGGGAGCACCCAGCCCTACCTGCAATGGGGCAGCCTGGCATGGGTGAACAGGGCAGAAGAGCTCAGTAACATCCCTGAGCCCTCCAGCCAGCCCTCGGTTCCCCACAGCAAACCTGAAATCTGAAAGACTAAAAATTCACAACTCTAAGGTGCTCCAGAAAGAAGAGATCACTGAATCATAGAATGGTTGGGTTGGAAAGGGAGGTGGTTATGTCACCATCCCTGAATGTGTTTAAAAACGATTTGGATGTGGTGCTCAGGGACACGATTTAGCAGGGGGTTGTTAGAGTTAGGGTAGTATGGTTATGTTGCGGTTGGACTTGATGATCTTTAAGGTCTTTTCCAACCTGAGCAATTCTATGATTCAGTTCCAATCCCCTGCAATGGGCTGGGTGCCCTCCAACAGATCGGGTTGCCCAGGGCTCCATCCAGCTTGACCTTGGGCACTGGGGCAATGGGGTATCCACAGCTTCCTGGGCAGCATATGCCTTGCCTCCCTCTGAATGATTTCCTCCTAACGTGTAACCTAAATCTCCCCTCTTTTATTTTAAAATCATTTGCCCTTGTTCTGTCACAATCAGATAATGTAAAAAGTTGGTTTCTCTCCTGCTTGTCCCCAGAGCCTTTAAGGCTGGACTCCCCCAGCAACCTCAAACTTTCCTCACAGGAGAGGTGCTCAGCCCTTCTGAGCATCTTTGTGGCCTCCTCTGGACCAACTCCAACAGCTTTAGATAAGAGGATTTGGCTTGTTGAAGTGATGCTCCCAAAAATCAGCCAAGAGTGGGTGTTCAGCAAAGCAAAGAGTGTCTGCTCCCCACGCACTGCAAGGATGGGTGCACGAGTGAAGAAATCCTGGCCAGCACAAATATCCTCCCAAACCATGTACCAAACCATGTACCTCCTGCTGTGAGGACCTCTGCATTTTGGAGTCTTTCATAAGCATGCATAAAATATGTTGCTTACAGCACTTTCAGCACACCCATCCCATCAACTGTCCACCTCATCAAAGCACCAGAGACTGAGGAATGTGAAAGGATGTCACGCCACCAGCCTGCTGCTGTTGCAACATGGGGACTTTGAGAAGGAGCACATGGAAGCTCCCACCCAAGAAAACTGTGTAAAAGTTCTGATAGTGTAAAAAGTTCTGATAGTCCTGGCAGAGCTTACAGAAGGGATTGGAAAGGGTTAGAAGGGACCTCTGGAGATCATCTAGTTTAACCCCCTGCTAAAGCTGGCTCTGCTCTGTTCAGCCATGCCAGTTTATCACCTGGATGCTCTCGGTTAAGCCTGCTGGCTTCATCCCCAGAGCTTGGCCTTTGGATGCAGAGGAAGCTGGTGGCTTCAATCAGAAGACAACCTGGCTCAAGCCATTCACAAGCCCTCGTGGATCACCAGCATACTCATGGGCTTGGATCACCCCACCCCACCCCTGAGAAAGAATCCAAGAGGCTGAACAAACACTCCAGCTAAAAAAACGCCACATCAGCCCAATGAGGACCACTGCCAAAGCAAACACTGCAGCAATATTTCTTAATCAAAATCCCCAAACAAACACTGCAAAACAAAAGCATAACAACAGCAGTATGACAAGTGAGGTGGCTCAGACCATCAAGAAGGGTCAGAAATGGCTGGAAGGGAGAAAAGGAGGCCAGGTGCAAGCCAAACCTGCCTGGTAAATGATCTATAATGCCTCCAGCAGATTCCCAGACCATGCAGTTCCTCCTCTCTGCAGCTCTCCTGCTTTTATCCTCAAGCTGCTGTCCCCTGGCACAGCGCACACCTCCCCCATGCAGCAGGGCAGGCACAGGGTGCAGCAGTTGAACCGTCTGGGAAAGGTCCAACCCATCAAAATGATGATTTCAAACTGTAATTGGTTTTTGGGTTTGTTTTTTGTTGGTTTTTTGGGGTTTTTTTGTTTTTTTGTTTTTTACAGGGGAAGTTTTCAAATTCTGAGATTTCACCTGACTGTGAGCAATGACCACTTTTCAAATCACGAGATTTCAAAAGAAGAAAAAAAGGTAACAGAAACCCTCTTGTCATTAGAGATTTGAGAGATGCTTTCCTAGCTTTGTTAAACCGCTTCAAAGCTTTGTGCTGGGGTGTGGCATTGTTTTCAAATGCTCCTTGCATTGCTTCCTTCTCTGGGCTTATGTTCAGCTGTATCTTTAAGCTAATGGATTTAGCCATATGTCTTTTATTTTGTATTAATAATGGGTCTGTAACTGGTGGAAATACATTCCATTCAGATTCTAATGAACTTCGGTATCACAGAATCGTTAAGGCTGGAAAACACCACTAAGATCAACCAGTCCAACCCCACCCCACCATGCCCATAACCACGTCCCTCAGTGCCACATCCCCATGGATACGGAGCACCTCCAGGGACAGTGATCCCACCACTCCCTGTGCAGCTGTGCCACTGCATCACTGCTCTTTCAGTGAAGATTTTCCTAATATCCAACCTGAACCTCCCCTGGAGCAATATAAGGCCATTCCCTCTGGTCTTTGATACATAGAAGGAAGAAATAAAAAATCCTCTCCTCTGACTGATCAGAGGCCAGCTGATGACCAAGTCCAAGTCCAGCTACACCCTCTCTAATTTGCAACAGTTTCTGCCACCGAGTGGCCCTTTGACTGCAAAGACTTTAAGGGGGGGGGGGGGGGAAAGATTAAAAGAGAGGAGAGAACTCAAAAAATCTGTTTCTGTTTATAATCAGTTGGAGCCCAGAGGGTATGACCAACAATCTGTGTTAATTACGTATTCAATCTTCACTCATTCTGGCCCCTCTTGTCCTCTGGGCTGTGGATTAGATAATCCCCTTAAAATAATAGTCAATCATTAGCTCGGAGAATTTTTTGCCTGCAAGCAGAGCGCTGTGCTGTTTCCTGGCATCCTTCTGCAGCCCATGCAAGACCCCCAGCCCAACACGGACCACTCCCCCCTTTATAACCAAAGCCCCTCTGACATGTTGCTGCTCCTGGGACAGCAAAAGCTGCAGCTCTGCTCCCTGCCCCAGCTGCTGCCACCACTGACATGCACAATTTGCACATCCTCAGAATGCAGCTGAGACATTCTTCCATGGATTAGGACTAGGTGCACTGCTTCTGCACAAGCTTATTGGGTGCAATTCATTAAGAAGCCCTTTTTTCCTGATCTGCATAGTTACAAAAAGCAGCTAAACCGGGCAGGGATTGTTTTGCAGTTGGCATAAGAAATTCCACCACAGCTGGCACCAAAAAAAGCCAGGAGGATAAGCACCGGCATGCCAGGAGCGTTACAGCAGGCAGGCACATTCCTGCACAAAACACACCGATGCCTCCTGAAACAGCCCCTTCTGCCCCTAAAAGGGCAAGACAGCCTCAAGCAAATAACTGATAGCAAACCCTGCTCTGACAAATGACATCAAAGCAGGCAGTGCCTGGCTCCAGCGGGCAGCTCTGTGGCCAAGCCAGGAAAGGAGAGCCCAGAGCCTGCAGCCAGGGAATGTCATCTCGTCTGCCAAGGCAGATGGCTCAGCAATGGACCTAATATAGTAACATATTCATCATGGATGGCCATGCACGGAAACCGCTTTGCACAGCCACTTGATAGCCCTGCTGCTGCTGGGGTTGCAAAGGGGATGTGGAAGCATCATGCATAAAGCAGCGTGATCGCAAAACGGGGCTGCTGAGCCATCCAAGGGACCTGGGGGGACGTGGTGATGGCTCTTGTTTGCACATGATGGAAACTGCAGCGAGGGAGCGAGGAATGGATCACGAGTGTGTACTTTCAGTCAGCACAGAACGCATCCAGTAGGAACATCTGACAGCAGGGCAGCGTGTCAGGCTCCTGCCACTCTTGTGATCAGCTGTGAACATCTGCCTGCATTGTCCTTCAGGACTGGTCTAAGAAAGCATATGCTACCATCAGGATGATGATCTCGGTGGTCTTTTCCAACCTTAATGTTTCTGTGATTCTATGATAGTTGCAATCTCTGGAATGCACTGCTGCTTCCTTCAATTTTTTAAGCAGCAAGCCTCACCAGTTTGGGAAACAAACAGCCATGAATGCAGGAGACTGGCTGTCTCCAAAGCAAGACTGGATTTACAAAAGAGATTTCTGGGCTCTGTAAGCCCAAATTGTTGAGCTCATAACAAGATGAAGTGTAAGAGCCTGCAGTACCACAGCTCAGACCACCTAGCCTTGGTCACAGCTCTCTCCCTTTCTATAGCACCAACCAATCCAACATGACAGTGTTTGCACCTGAAATCCAGAAAAACAGTCCAACTGCATCACATCCTGGTCCTGCTAGAACACAAAAGCTCCGCTCACACCAGCCTGCAGCTACCTGGCTTCTGCATGCAGTCAGCTCATACTACAAGCACACTTCTACCTCCACAACATCCAGACAAGTGTTGGAGTTACAAAGCACACATGGCCACAACTACATGGAGAGTCAGGATCTCCAACCCTCCGCTTCTCCAAAATGCCTTCAATTCCTCATAAGGCCCAGCCAAGCCTGGCTTCATCTCCCCAGGGAGGTTTTGCCCTCTGGTTTATTACCAAAAATCCTGGAGCACCAACAGGTTTGCCATCGGCCATTGCGCAAGGAGCAGCCTGGCTGTAGGTGCGGCCGCGCGGTGCGTAATTACGGCGCTGAGTGGAGCCGTGATGCTTGTGTTGGCATGGCAGCCAGATCAGCGAGATGGATGCACAGCATGTGCATGGTCTTGCGCCTCTGTTTTGCTGCCTCCTCCGCAGCAATTTAGGAGGTGCGGCTCTTGGCAGTGTGGATTTAAATGGAAGGAAAAAAAAAAATCCAGCTCAGCATCATCCTGCTGCCACCGGCAATGTGGCTATGGGAGATGGTGCTGCTCAGATGGTGTGGTAAAACCAACTTCCCAGGCAGTAATCCAAGGGAATGGGGTTTGGGACTGCTGATTTGCAAACCACGGTTTTGCCTGCTCGCCTGCCCAGC